CTGTACCCTGATGACTGAATGTGACTAGAGTAAAATAAGCAGTCACAGTGACAGTCTCACTTCAAATCCATGACCACTGACCTCAAGTAGGCCCTGAAGGCTGCTTCAAGATCATATTATACTTCTCTGTCCCATCCACCCTCCTACTTTCCTAGAAAATTATTTCACACTTCTTTCTTTTCAAGTCTATAGTACATTGTCCCCCACCTTCACTCTCAGCTGATGACTATGCTCCCTATTTCACTTAGAAATAGAAACAATAAGAAGAGAGCTTCCAAAAGTTCCATAATCAATGGAAAGCACACCTTAGTTGGGGTAACTAGTTCCTAGTTACCCTGTGATCAGTCATATCATTATGGTGACACTTGTCCATGCTTCTGGCTAAAGCCCACCCCTCCACTCATATACTGGATCCCACCTGCATCTTGTCTATTTTCACGTGTGTTATCAGTTTGTCTCTCTTTCCTGGATCATATCCATCAGCACACAAACGTGCTGTTTTCTCTCATCTTAAAAAGGAAAATGAAAAACTGCCTTGACTCCGCTGCCCACTCTAGTTACTGCCCCATTATCCTACCCCCTCTTATAGCAAAACTCCTAGAAAGAGTTGTCCAGCCCTCCTGCCTTTAAGCCGTCTCCTCCTGTTCTCTCCTGAACCTGCTCCAGTTAGGCTTTCACCTTCATCGTTCCACAGAAATCAGTGTCGTCAAAGCCTCAGGGAGTGTGCATTGCTCCGTCTCATGGCACACTCTGAGTCCTCATCTTCCGTGTCCTATTCAACAGCATTGACAGTTGATCCCTCTCTTCTCCTTGAAACACTTTGCTCCTTTGGTTTCCAGGACTCCACACACTCCTGAGTTTTCTCCTGTCTCACCACTAATCCATCTCAGTCTTCTTTTCTGGCCTTTTCTCATTTGTCCAGCTTATAACTTGGAGTGCCTCAGGATGTCCTTAGGCATCATCTCTTCTCTATGCATCCTCATTCCCCTAATGATCTCATGGGTCTAAACACAGATCTTTTTACATTTATGTGTCCAGGCCAGGCCACTTCTCTGTACTCCAGACTCACATATGCAGCTGCCAACTGAGATGCATAATAGGCATCTCAAATCTAGTATGTCCCCAACCAAACTCCTGATATTCACACCAAAACTTGCTTCGCCTCATGTTTGTAAATGGCTACTCCCTTCTTCCGGTAATCCTCCATCTTTCCTAACTGAGTGATTTGTATGTGAGGATTAAAGTGTGGCTTGGATCTAGCAGTGCCTTTTCCTAGTCATTGTCCTTTCACTGAGGGTGGATTGAGGAAGGAAATCATAGATCTTGTGCCACTGCCCACTCACCAGTGAAGACGACAGATCTAAAGCCTTGAGTTCTAGTGGCTGTACCATGGCAAGCCAGAGCTTTTGTGCAACACCTGCTTCTGGAAAACTGCCAGAACTGTCTATCTCTGAAATGTTTAGCCAATCAGTTGAGTCTTTCCCTGGACCTCTGCTGTCCTGTTTCAGCAAGCCCAACTATCCATAATACCTGAATCGACTTCTTGTGTGCGAACTCCATTGATGCAAACCCTGTGGACGCATATAACGTGAAATTGTGCTACAATATGGGGACTCAGTGTCAAATAACTGGAAAAGGGGAATCACTAATAACAGACCTTAAAGATGGAACTGGCTAAGTTTGGGTGAGGACTAGAGCAGTGAGGATCCCTCCAACCCAAGAGGGAAAGACAAAATATTTTGTTAGAGAGTAGTGAAGCAGTGGTTTACGTCCTCTGTTGTGTCTTGGGGTGGATGATCCATTGAGGCTTGGCAGAGAAATATGAGGATATTAGTTTATTAGCTGCTTCCTATCTTCAGTCAGGTAGCTCAGGCAAGACTCAAGTTTTATCCCGAGCTGGCTTCTCTGAAAGGTGAGTGGGACACCAAAATGGATATGCAAGTCTGTCAGAGGGGTCATTTCTGTCTATGGCCAAGGATTTAAGACCTCTGAGAACCAGACACTTAGGCACCCTGCTGGATTTCAAGACTGAACTCTCTGCCCTAGGCTAAGGCTAGTGTGAGTCAAGGCAGGGATGAAGGAAACGGCAGGAGATGAGACTGGGCTGGTATTTTATCACTACATTTTCTTGCTCCATTTTATAGGTGAATCTTAAGATGTTTGCTCTTGAATCTATAAAACCAGCCCTAATCTCTCCCTTGAACTTCAAAGGCATATAGACAAATGTCTGCCATGTATTTGGATGCCTCATAAGCATCACGACTACCTCTGGCCCTGCTCCTTTTCCTGTTTTCCCAGTCCAGATTGAGTACTAGCTTAGAAATCTAGTGGTCATGTTGGAAACCTAGCAGGGATTCTTGTCTCTTCTTCTCTTATCAGTTACTAAGTCTTTCCAATAGAAGCTCTCAGATATTTGTCATATTCATCCCCTATTTCCTAATCCTTTCTGCCCTGGTTTGTTCTTTTATCTTCTCTCACATGAAACTGTTATCGCTATAGGTCCCTAACTCGTGGTTTCTCTGGCTTTAGTTTTGCTTTCCTGAAACAATCTTCTATATGGCCACCAGAATGATTTTTCTAAAACAAATGTTGCACCTAATAACCTTCAGCTATGCTTCGCAATTGAAATAGGTGTTCCCATGATGGTCTGTAGTGGTGTTCCAAGATATATAAAGTCGCCTGAAAAAAATCTGGAGGGGAGTGGAGAGTGACTCCGTTATCTTTAGATTAAAACCAATATGTACTGTGGAATGGACTATGGAATTTGCATACATTTTAAAGAAACTTCACAGAAATTCCATGAATGTGGTGGGCTATTTCAGGTTATGCCTCCACCTGCATCCTTTGTATTTAAATTCACTGCCATTAGAGGTTTTTTAGAAGAAAAGTTTAAGAAACACTGGTCTATAGGAAAAAGTTCAAGCTTCTTGTCATAGCTTATCAAAAAGATCAGCATAACCAGATCCCTCTTTTAACCTCACTTCTGAGTTTTCCCCATGTTGTCCCTGAGACGATGAACAGCTTCCAGGTCTGCAGAGACCGTATTTTGAATGCCTCTGTCCCGCACTGAGTTCCAACTAGAATGCCTTTCCTTGCCTCCCTTGGCTGTCTAACTCTTGCTCCCTCAAGGGTCTGCTAGGCATCATATCCTCCAGAATCCTTCTCTAGCTTCCTCTCCTCTCCCCTCCCAGCCATTTAGATTCTGTCCTCTATGCCTAGTATTATCACTACTTGCCAGGGCTTGAAACCTTGTTCTGCTGTGTCCATTTCTCCTCCAAGGGAATATCTTTCAGTTTACCCTGCTAGAATGGGCATTTTAAAATGAACACCTGAACCTTCTCCCAGTAACTCATTACCTCTCTCAGAAGATGAGGAGATTCATCTGAATGGTGAAATTGGTCAGACCTGACTTTTATAGGTCATATGGACAAGGAGGCAGAATCGTTTCCTTGAGATGGGAACTTGTGCCATCCCTGGCTCTTTCTCTTGTAATATCTATCTTATGTACTCTCTGAAAGAAGGGCCAGCTCCCTCTTTACTTTTCCCTCCAAAGTAGTAAGCACATGTGATAAGTCCTACCTTTTGTGGGTGTGGTTCCACTGTTGTCCAGCTTCTCTTTCAATAACGGGGTGGGAGTAGGGGTGAGTTAACTTGGGTAGGGAGGTAGGATACTCCAGTGCACTCTGCAATATACTCATTGTCAGAGAGCCCCAAATAAAGCTAATAGGCCCTTTTGGGGGCTGGTGTTATCTTTGTGTGTGCTTAATTAGTTAAAATTCAAGGAGAAGGGAATATGTAACAACAGAAATATTACACTGATTTAAATTATCAATTAAGTTAGTTCTACCAGTTAGTCAATAAACTTCCTGAAGGCAAGTTTATCCTTTTTATTTTTGTATTTCCATTGACACAGATTACTTGGCAAATAAGAGGTACTTAGTTTTTTATTTTTTATTTTTTTCTGATTATAGAAGCAATGCAACATGATTTTAGAAATGAGAGAATTTTGTAAAATGAGGAAATAAAAAATGATCCAACAAACCAAAGATTATATATTAACAAAATATAAACTTGTACACTTACTCTTCTCCTTTTTACTGTATGTATATATACTTTTTTTACAAAAAAGAAATTATACATAGTTTTGTTTTTAAAAAAACAACTACTTTTATAGCATTGAATATTCTTCTACAAGCTGGTTTTCATAGCTGCATAGTATTCCATTTTTACGTTAATGAAGAGTAGTCCATTGATAAATAATATTTATTAGACATGTCAAAACATTTTTTTCATGAGCTTTGCCATGTGATTGACATGCATTATCACATTACATATTTACAACAACTCTGGGGCAAGGATTTTTGTATATCCACTTATACATGAAGAAACAGAGGCTAACAAAAATTAACCAGATTATCCAAGGTCACACAAATATTAAGTGGCAAAATTGGGATTCAGTTATATGTGATTTAACACCAGAGCCATGAGAACTCTTAAAAGGATATTCTGTAATTTATTTAGCATATTTTTATTGTTAGGCACTTAAGTTGTTTCCAATTTTCTTATAATAATAAATAATGCTGCCTATGTCGAACATCATTAGAGCCGAATCTGTGTACATATTTCTGGTCATTTTCTTCAGATAAATTCTTAGAAGTAAAATTTTTGGCTCAATTGGTTTTTCTCTCTAATTACAAACCTAATACAATCACAAAATGGAAAATTTGGAGAACATAGAAAAGCATAAAGTAATAAAGCAAAAACCATTGATAATTCCACCTTTCATATATTTTTAACATTTTATTCTTTTTTCAATCTTTTATGTGTATTTATATGTACATATATGCCATACGTATATAGCACTCTCTATACATATATAGAGAGAGCTATATATATAGCTATATTGAAGAATATATTTTACATTTTTATTATACATTATAGGAAATCGTATGATACCAGTGCTACATGTATAAACGTATACATATATGTTTCCTTTGCAGATAATCAATTAATTAATTGTAGAAACCATATTCTGGAGTTTAAGGAAAATATGCTACGTTTAAAAAACAAAACTGAAACAAATCGCCAAGAACTGATGAAAACCTTGAATAGAATGAAGGATGAAATTGAACAGAGAGAAAATCTATCAGCACGCTTAGGTTTGTGTTGCTTTTGTTTTTGTGTATGGTGATTTATTTGTTTGTTTTAGGTTTTGTGTTTGTAAGTTTAGATTTTATGCTTTCTGATTTTAGGGCATTTCTCCTCAATAAATATAGCTAAATCAGTACTTGTTCTTTTATTGTGAGACATCCAAAAGTCAGGTGAGAGATATCACTGATACAGTTCTTCCCATCTCTACCTCAAAAACGGCCTTTCTATGTGTTCTCTCTCTGTGAGTTGCACCAGGATGCCTGATCCATCTAACAGATGCAGCCAGAACCTGAGCATCATCTCTGACTCCTCCCTCTCCTTCTCGCATCCCTCCATGTCAGTCAATAAACAATCCTGTTGATTCATAATCTTACATATCTCACAAATCTGTCCACATTTTTCCATCGCCATCTGTACTACCCTAGTCGGGTCACCTTCATACTTCATCTGAATGGCTGCTAACATACTCTTATTTTTTTCTTTCTCTCTCTAGACTTATACCCGCCTCTCTATTCTCACTGTAACCAAAGTGAAGACTACACTGTCCTGTATATCAACCTTCAGTGGTTCCCCGTTTCTCTAGGATAGAAGTCCTGCCTCATGCATCCCACTTTGTGGTTAGATGCTTCTCCCACTCTTAACCCCTGGTAACCACTGATCAGTCCTCTAGCTCTCCCTTTTCCAGTTGCTGTAGAAATGTCATGGTGCAGTGTGTGACTCTGACACTGGCTTCTTTCACTTTGCTTAGATTCATCCAAGTTATTGTGTGACCAATTGTTTTCTTGCCTTTCTGTTGCTGAGTAGCATTCCATTGTATGGATGTAAACTTGGTAGTTTGTTTATCCTTTCACCAATTGAGGGACATTTGGGTTGTTTCCTGTTTTTTTGGTGATTAGAAATACCTGTTGTTATAAACATTTATGTGCAGATTTTTTGTATGAAGAGAATTTTCATTTCTTTAGGATAAATATCTAGGATTCATGAGTATGTGGTAAGTCTATGTTTAACTTTATAAGAAACTGCCAAACTGTTGTCCAGAGTGGCTGTACCATTTTGCATTCCCCACAGCGATGTATGAGGTTTCCAGTCACTCCAGTTTATTATAGACATTCTAGTGTCATGGTTTAAGTTCTATTTCTCTAGTGACTAATGATGTTGAACATCTTTTTTGTGCTTATTTTGCCATCCATGTATCTTCTTTGGCGAAATGTCTGTTCAAGTCTTTTGCATATTTTTTAATTGGGTTGTTTGTTTTCTTGCTGTTGAGTTTTAAGTGGTCTGTATATATCCTGGCTACATATCAGAAGGATATGTGGTTTGGAAATATTTTCTCCCAGTCTGTGGCTAGTCTTTTCATCCTCCTTATGGTGTTCTTCACAGAGCAAACATTTTTAATTTTGATGAAGACAAATTTATCAATTTTTCTTTATATACATTATGTTTTCAATGTTGTATTTAAGACCTCTTTACCTAGCTGAGAGTAATGAAGATTTTCTTTTATGTGTGTGTGTTTTTAACTTTATAGTTTTAGGTTTTACATTTAGGTCTATGAAACTTTCAAGTTGATTTTTATAAATGGTGTGAAGTACAGATCAAGATTCAGTCTTTTTCGTGTAGATGTCCAAGTGTTCTCACACCATTTGTCAAAAACGCTGTCCTTTCTGCATTGAATTGCCTTTGCACCTTTCCAAAACTTAATGACCATATTTGTGTGGCTCTATTTCTGGATTCTGGATTCTGTTCCATTGGTCTATGTATCTATTTTTACTGTAATAACACACTGACTTGATTACTGTATTATATAGTATGAGTTAAAATTGGGTAGTGTGAGTCCTCCAACTTTGTTCTTTGTCAAAATTGTAGAGGCAAATTCAAATGAAGAGTACAAATGGAGTCATTAAGTGTTCAGAGGCTACAAAACGAAGTTATGAAGATACAAACTTTAATGATGTGATCTTAATCCAAGTAGCAGAACAGATCAGTTATAGCCTGATTCACTTATACTCCCTTTATTTGGAACTGGCAGTTGTATAAGTCTCTGGTTGTATAGCTCATAGTGCTAGACTTAAGTATTACCTTTGAAATAAGTATGAGGCAGTAACATTTGAGCTATATTTTGATAATTTACATTTAATAGTATTTCTCTTATATATTGAATACTAAATTAATCTGTGAATTAATTTATAAACCCTCATTTAAAAAAATTATACCAGGGGGAGAAAAATCCCTATAGCTGTGAACTCAGAAGCCCTATTTTTTCTGTCTTTCAGTTGAGAAGAAAGTGAATACATCAGATAAGATTGAAACCGTAACTAATGCATTTGAAATCTTAAAGTTCTTTCTTCCTCATCTAAGGAAAGTAGGCAGAATTTATCCTAATGTAATCATTGGCAAAGAGAAAACAGGCGGTAAGAAAACCTAGATTTGTATCATCAAATACAGATATTTTGATCTTTGGGAACTTGCTTTTAAGTTTTAAAATGTAATCCATGAAAATGACACTCAGATTGACATACAGACCACCAGCCTATCTGGCAGTGATTTGGATTACCAGAAATCAGTATATTGTCTGGCAGAAAAAATTGTTCAGTAAGTATTGGGAGACTTGAATTCAAATTCAATTTTAATACAGATGCTTTGAAAATAAGTCAATATAAGTCAAACATACAATAAGCATCTGCTGAGTGCTTGGCAACTCTTTTCTCCTTTGGTTTTGGTAAATCTATTCAAGATATCTTAACCCAGATATCTTGGTTATCTTTCTAGGTCCCCATCTTTCTGGGGACCAGAGTCAGCAAAAACTTTACAGAAGAGGTGATGTTTGCACTAACCCGTGAAAGATGAGTTCAAGCTCACCAGGTGTAGAAGAGAAAAAGCATTTGAGTTAGAAGCAGGGATATTAAGGCCAAGTCTCAGAACACCTGCCATTCTCACAAACCTTGTTCATTCCAGTGAGGCACTCTAGGTCAGAGGTCAGCAAACTAGAGCCCACAGGCCAAATTTGCTTGTTTTGAAATAGTTTTGTTGGACCATAGCCATACTCATCGTTTACTTATCTGTGGCTGCTTTGGCACTACAAGGCCGGCGTTGAGTAGTTGCGACAGAAACAGTCTGGCCCGGGAGCCAAAAATGTTTACTATCTAGCCCTTTATAGAAAAGTTTGCTGACCTCTGCTCTCGGCAGTTCGGTGGGAATCAGTAAGTGCTGTTTTATATCACATGCCTCTGACAAGCCTCTCGTGTTGGGATGGGGGTGCCAGATGACATTGTTTAACATTGACTGAATTCTCACTGTGTACCATACACTGAGTTGCTATGTTTTCTTTCATTATCTCATTTAATCTTCATAACCCAATGCAGTAGGCCCATGATTATCTGTATTTTACACCTGAAAAAATTGAGGCTTAGAGAGATTAAGGAAGTTTTTGAAATCACACTTGTAAGTCTTTAACTGCATCAGATTCCCTCTTGGGAGTGTTTTGATTGTGGCATATAAATATGCACATATACGTGCTTGTACACGTGTGTTCGAATGTATGAGAGAGCGTGTGCTGGATGAAAGCTGGAGTTTATGGGAAGAGGAGTTGAAAGACACAGAAAAAAACCAATGCATAGAATCTATAAGATATTAGATACCAAGAATAAGCACAGCTGTGGAAAAGCATCAGCAAAGATAAGCAGAAGCCCATGATATAGAGTGAAAGGAAAGAGGGAGAGAGATGCTGGTAATTGGGAAGAGTAATAGAGCTCTGTTCCCTGGGGCCGGGGGCAGGGGTCGGTGGGAGGTGGGTTGAGATAAACCAGTAATCAGAACTGTGTTAAATCCTGAATAATTTTCCAATTTCCCAACTACGTCCTGATTTCCAGCTATGCTGTATTTATATTGGTCCTTCTTTCAAGGTCCCTTTGGTGGCTTTTCTTAGGTTTTTAGGGGGACCGGCCTGCATATAACGCTTCATTACCAGAGGCAATATAAAGGGAGATTTTGTTTCTGGTAACTAAAAGATCTTAACACATAAGACATTTGCAAATGTATTGAAGCCTGTAGCATAGCCTACTGGGGAATCTATCATCAGTCTTATTTATTCTATATTCTGAATATATCTCAAATAATTTCTGCTCTTTGTAGCCCCTCTACAACTGTTTTTTAGTGAGCCCCTCATTTCTTGCCTTGTCTATTTCAATAGACGTAATTTTTCTCATGACTTTAGTATTACTAAGTGAGTCCATGCTTTCCTCAGAGATGCGTACTAAAATGCGTAACTCATCTTGCTCAACTCTTGCTTAGAATCCCTCACTAGATCCTCGGTGCATATAGGATGAAGTTAGCTCCTTGACATGGCATACTCATAATAGGCTATATCTTTCAAATCTCAATTTCTACCACTTCCTTCCATTTCCAGCGACTCCAAACCACTAGCAGTCCCCAAAAATAGACCAAGCTCTTTGAGATCTCCATGTATTTGTACATGCTGATCACTGCCTATAATGAGCACACCACCTCCTATCAACCCACAGCTAATTTGTTGTGTAAGTCCCTTATCCAGTATGACTTTTCATCTTAACTGACAACTTCTTTGTGAAGCCTACCATGTCCCCTCGTTTAACAAGCTTCTGCTTTGTGCCAGGCACTTGCTAGGCCCTGGGGATATAGTGGTGAACAAGATGTGGACCTCATCCTCATAGAGACAAATGAGAAAGCAATTACAATATAGAGTGACCAGTGCCATAATGGAGGAAACACAAGTGTGAGCCAAGTAATCTATCCTCAGGGAATTGGGGAAAACTTTCTGGAGGAAGTAACATCTAAGCTGAGACATGAAGAGTAAAAAGAACTGGAGTAGGCTAAGCAGGGGACAGGTAGGTGATGGATAGTGGAAAGGTGGAGGATGGTTGTCCAGATAGAGGAAAAGAAATGTGAAAGATCTAACAGCAAGAGAGCCTGGGAAAAGAGTGTGGCTTGTGTGCACAAGTGGGGCTGGAGGCTATCAGCAATAAGACATGGCACAGAGGCCAAATAATTAAAGGGGCTTATCCGTTCATTTACTCATCCCAAATTTATTGACATTACTATGTTCCAGTCATTATATTAGTGCTGGACTTATAATGGTGAGCAAGAGAGCATCAGTGTCTGCCCTCACCAAGCTTACATTCCAGCTAGGAAAACAACAGGTAAAAATAAAAAGGATAAGAAATACTATGAGAGATGAAGTAAGAATATATAGCTGGTACACCCAAGCTAATTTAGAAAGAATGAGCAGAATTAGCACAAGGAATCTGAAGAATGAGTGGAATTAGCACAAGGAATCAGAAGAATGTTCTATGCATGTGCAAAGGCCTGAAGATGAGAAAGTGGTATTTGGTCAATTTGAGAAGCTGACAGACTGTTAAGTAATACTGGTTTGGAAAGAGGATAGTTGAAACAGAAGACGTAGGGCGAGACCAGGTCACTAAGGGCCTTGTGAACTTTTGTAAGTGTACTCCTTATCTTAAGGCATGGGAAGCCATTCCAGGAATTGCATTTTAGAGTGGATCTCGCAGCTTGAAACTTGACTCCTGCCCGACATCATCCATAAAAATCAATTCTAGGTGGACTATTCATCTAAATATGAAACACAAACAATAAACCATCTAGAAGATGTTCAGGAGAATATCTTTATGACCTGAAGATAAGCAAAGATTTCTCAACAGGAATCAAAAAGTACTAACTATAAAGGAAATGACTGATAAATTGCACTCTAGTAAAATTAAGAATTTGTGTTCATAAACAGGTAAAACATTGAAAAAGGAACCAAGAGTGGGAGACAATGTTTGTAACACATATAATTGACAAAGGGCTCATGTTCAGAATATATCAAAAGCATCAATAAATCAATAGGAAGAATGAAGACAACTCAATAGAGAAATGGGCAAGAGCTTAAACAGAGATTTCACAAAAGAATATCCAAAGGCCAAAAACATATTTTTATATATGTTCAAACTCAATACTAATCGGAGAAATACTGATTCCTTCTGTTCTCACCAAAGTTCAAGAATTTTTTTTTTAAATAAATGCTTCTCAGTTTGTTGTATACCAGGGTCCTGATTGTTTTGACAATTTTTTTCCCTAAGTTTATTAGTCTTCTTAGGGAGAAGATTTTCTGAGTTCCTCACTCAGCCATTCTGGAAGTCCTTATCCCCATCTTAAAGATGGGGAAATTGAGCTGGAGGGGCCGTGTTTCTTGACCAAGCTCATACAGCCAAGCACTATGCAGCCAAGACTGAGTTTGGGCAGACTTCGCTGATAGAATCTTCATATTTATTTATGATCACGTGAGGTCTAGTCTCCCAGTGCTTCAGTTATTATTGTGCAATAAAATCACTTAGAGGCATGGATTCATTCCAGCAAATCATTTGGAAATTACTTCATACATTTTTTTTACAGATGAAAATATTTCGTAATATTGTCCTTATTTTGGGTTCCAGCTTCTCCTTAGGAAAAAGAGTATAGAATCAGCCAATGTATGACATTTTGTACCCACTTAGATGAAAGCTGTAGTAAATGGAGAGTGGTTAGTTTTATTTTTGCCGACATCCTCCAACATGAGAATATCTTGGAGTCTATTTAATGTGTTTACTAACAATCCATTGCAAATTGAAATTTCCTGGAACAGAAAATGAAATATGTGATAAAAATTAACAGTAGTTTGGAGTTTTTTTGGAATACAGTTTCAAACACTCTTTCTATGACCATACAACTAACCCAAACATACAAGTAAGCATAGATAATAATGCTAAATTATGTTTTTCTCTGTGGTTTGAAATGATGATTCCATACTCCTTTGTTTGCAGTTTCCTTTGCGCTGGGTATTCCCACTGTTAACAGAGGAAATCATACTTACCTGAAGCAAACCCTGACCTCTATTGTCTCCAGAATGACTCTTTCGGAAGAGAATGACTCTGTGGTTATTGTCTCTATTGCAGATGTGCGTATGAAAAATAAGTAGGTCTCCTCATTCCCAACCTGTAGCCTCCAAATACACTTCCTCCATGGTAACCACTGTATTATTTTGAATTTCTCTCTTAAATTTAAAAAAACAATTCCTAGATGCCTTTTTTTGGTAGCAAACCATGTACTGAATACCTGTTTGACACCAAGAAGAAGAAATTAAGTACGTAAATCTAAAAAGAAAATATAATGGTTCCATGTGGAGAAATAAGATTGCATGTTAAATGTGTTAATAGGAGCCTTGCCTACTATATGGTAAAGAAATTATATTTGCAACCAGAAAAGTAAAATTGATGCTACAGTAATAAAATCTGGCCAGCCCCAAAAAAGGTTGGTATACAAATCAGGAAAGAATTTATGTTAAGTAACAATAACTACCACTAATTGAAGGACCCCTTTCCACATCTGTAGGATAGTGGACAATTTCTATACACATTATTTATAGCCTGTATTACACTTCTGTAAAGTAGGTATTACCATCTGACTTTACAGATGAAGAAACTGGAGCTTAAATAAAGTTAGTAACTTGTGGAGTAACTCATAGAGCATCTTCAAATCTAGGTCTCTCTGATGGCCCCAAAGTTTTCAATCCTGCCTCTAATGCCATGTAGAACCATAAAGAACTGTTTAAATATTAACACCATAAGATCTTTTGAAGGGGAATTTGGCAACATGTATCAGATTTAAAATGTGTATATCCTTTGTTCCAGAAATCTCAATTCTGGGAAGTTATCCTAAGGAGATAAACAGGCAAGAATTTCAAAATAATAAAAATATGACAGTATAGTCATGCAGTAGTTGGGAAGAGACTCTAGGTCTAGATTGCCAATGGTCAAATGCCAGCTTCTCAGGCTAGCCGGGTGGTGTAGCAGTTAAGTTCACGCACTCCAATTTGGAGGCCTGGGGTTCGCCAGTTTGGATCCTGGGCACAGACCTACGTGCTGCTTATCAAGCCATGCTGTGGCAGGCATCCCACATATAAAATAGAGAAAGATGGGCACAGATGTTAGCTCAGGGCCAATCTTATTCAGCAAAAAGAGGAGGATTGGAGGCAGATGTTAGCTCAGGACCAATCTTCCTCAAAAAGAGAAAAAAGGTCACAAATGCCAGCTTCTCTACTGTCTTGCTTGTGAACTTGAACAAGTTACTTTGCTCCTGTATGCTTCACTTCTCTTATCTGTAAAATAGTGATAATCATATTACCCACGTCATAGGGTTGTTTTGGAAATTAAACTAGCTAATATATTTAAAGTATTTAAAATGATGGGTGGCACATGGTAAGTGTTCAATAAGTAATTCTTTCAAGGATTTTCAGTGCTCTGTTGCTTTATAAAAGCATGATATTGGAAACAACCAAAATATCTATCAACAAGAGGCTGATTAAATACTTATGTCTATGTTGCAACCATTGAGGGGAGAATGAATATCTATAGTCACTGACGTAAAATGATGTCCACATCATATTATTGAGTGAAAAAAGTTGTAAAGCATCTTGTTTAACGTAATATTATCTTTGTAAAATGTGCTAGAAAGAGAAGGGAGGAAGGAAGGAGGAAGAAAGATATAAAGACAGATGAAATGTATAAAGAGAAAAACAGAATGAGCAATCATGGTCTCCAAAATATAAATAATGGTTATCTCTGGATGTTGGGAGTTAGAAGGATCTTTGTTGTCCTTTCTTTATTCTTTTCTCTATTGTTTGAATTTCCTGTAATAAACTTATCTTTGAATGCAGAAAAAAACTCCAACAAAACAAGCAGTTGAAGAACTAATAGGAAAATATAAATGAAAGGTTAAACAATCATTCTCTCCAAGTTAATTTCTTAATATTGGAAGCATATACAAGGTCTCCAAAACGTTTTGTCACATTTCCTCTGTTACATGTTACAATCTTTATTTCTTTGCTGTTGACACAATGCACATGTGCCCAAAATGTTTAGACCAATAATAAAATATTGGGGGACAAATTTTAAAATGGAATATAAAATGCTAAAGAAGTGTAACTTTAGTACTATATTTAAAATATCATATGTTTCAGTGGGTAACAAATAGCTGTGATTCAACTTTTTTTAAATAATTTTTTTTTTTTTTTTGAGGAAGATTAGCCCTCAGCTAACATCCAGCACCAATCCTCCTCTTTTTGCTGAGGAGGATTGGCCCTGAGCTAACATCTGTGCCCATCTTCCTCTACTTTATATGTGGGATGGCTGCCACAGCATGGCTTGATAAGTGCTGTGTACGTCCACACCTGAGATCTGAACCAGCAAAGCCCGGTCCACCGAAGCGGAACGTGTGAACTTAACCGCTGTACTACTGCGCTGGCCGCTAGGCATGATTCAACTTATGGCTATCTTAAGAACCTTATGTACTAGTTATCTGCATCATGACTGGTATTTTTAAACTAACTACATTCATTCAGAATTGCCTTTCAGAGTACTCAGATTTGATCCTAGAACTATCATTGTTGAAAATATTTCCAGAATTTTACCTTGGGAGTGCTGGTGGGCCCTGAAGCTACATCTTGTAAATGTCATCAGTTATGTTAAAAAAAATGATCTGAGAGAATAAACCCCCAAAAGCTAATTTGCAAATGAGTCTGTCATCTAATCCAGCATAGTGTTCGATGAAGAGTAGGTACACAAAGTTTGTTGATGGAAGAAAATTTGGTAATCAAGCTGAGTAATACTGTCTGGAAAAATGTGATGTAATTTTGAAGTAAGCTTATTGTCGTATAATACTCATAAAATGAAGGCATTTTCAAAAAGAGCAGTACTTTGAAATAAGCCATCCCAAATTTTAGGACAAAACTGTTTTAGGTACATAAGTTTTTGTATACTAATTTTTAAGTGTAAATAACGTGTAGTGATATTTCATATTGTGACAAAGGGAGAATGAAATATTTTTGATGTTCAAGTCAGATCTTTTAGACACATGGATATTTTAAATTCTTTTATAGAAAGTGAAAACAGTAGAAATGATTAGGACATGATGACATTCCACACATAAACTAGAGTTACATGTAGTAAACATGTATTAGTAAAATAGGAGGCATGCTTGGTTTCAGTGAAATATTTTTCTCATTCTTAGAGTAATGAAGATTATGTAAAATCTGTTGTTGACATGATTACAAAAAAGTAAGTACTGTTCAATAAATTTAAAAATAGCCCTTCTTTCATTTTTCTATCCTATTTTTTATATCAATTATATAATTTCATTAGTGATCAATTCTTCTTAATGAGTGTAGCTGTGCAGAAAGAACCTGTAGTTCTGTCTAAGCTGTGATGAAGTATAGCTTGTAATTTTCCCCAATTTTGTAGGTTATCTACCTATTAAAATCCATATTTTTCATGTTATTATTGTTACACTATCTATTCCCCCATGAAATTCATTGCCTCTGAGAGAAGCCTACTTGATTATTTTTAAAACATTCTTGTGTTCCTTACTGTATGAAGTTACTTTCACTGCTGCTGCTTATAATCTCCTGCTGTATGCAGCCCAGGATATGCAGGCACATACAGACGAACCAATGTGAAGTTATTTATCAAGCAAGTTGCTCTGGAATGGAGTCAGCTTTCCAGATCGTTATGTTCAAGTGGGCGATACAACTGGTAAAAAAAAAACAAATCACAGCAAGGAAGCCAGTGTTATCGTAGGAGTATGAGTAAGGCACTATGAGAACACAGAGAGGGGGAAGTATTTCACTCTATCTGTAGGTATCAAGAAGGACTTTGTGGAGAAGGTAAGAATTAAGCTGAGTCTAAAGGTGTAAGCAGACATTCTTCAGGCAGACAAAAGGAGAAAGGGAATGCCTGGCAAACAGAATTGCTTGAGAAGGCAGAAAAGCCCCAAAGGGAGCATGCTAGATTTTTGGAAATATAAGTATATTCGGGAACATGGTTGGTTGGGAGTAGGGAGGAAGGATTGGTGGGAGCTGAGGCAGGCCATGATGAGATCATGAAGAGCCTTAGGTATCGTGCAGAAGAATAGGTGCTTTATGCTACAGACTGGGGTTGCAAACATGCTCTTCAAGCCTAATCTGGCTAACAGATATGCTTGGTTTCGCCAGCAAAGTGTTGCATTTTGTTTTGTCTTTTCCTCAACCAAAAGCTCAAGTGGATGAGGCAACATTATTCTGGTCAAAAGAATTCCAGCTGATAACTGTAGAATTAATAGAATTAGAAAATCACCGTTTTGAGACATAACTGATTCAGGCATGTCATTAAGTGACAGGTGGGTGGGGAACTTTACAAGGAGGGTGTAGCAGTTAGCATCCAAACGGGAGAGCTCTTGGTAGTTCAGAAAGCAGAAATAGAGGGAATTCAATACAAAGAATAGGTCGAAAAATTTTACAAAGGCTGAGAGAACAAAAGGTAGAAGAAGAGACGGGAGAAGCATACAGGGAGATGGGGCTACACCCCGAGATCTGACACTGGGCTGCACCTGCTGCTGCCCTGTTGTAAATGCTGCGACAGCGGGGTCTAGTGGTGCCGCCTCCGTCAGAGCTGCAACCTCCACCAACTCTGCTGCTCCTGCCAGTGCTGACATCACTGCTGCTGCTGCTGCTGGAGACTTCACCTAAAACCGAAAGTGGCAAGAATGTCCTCCTCTTCTACGGCCTTCCAATCTCTTGTTACTTACTGCCTCCGACAGGCAGAACCTACCGGGAAGCTGGCTAGCACAGGTGCCTGGGACTGTGGTGTGCAGACCTCCAGCCCTACGATGCATGGCAGAGCAGAGGGCGAGAGTGTGGGCCGAGATCAGACGGGCATCAGCAGGAAGGGACCAAGTTCCCCGACCTGAACCTCTGATCAAGCTCCGTATCACTGGAAGCCAGTCAGGCATTTTGTCCCTCCTGTTTTGATGCAAATGAAATACAGAATGAAATAACTATAGGGAGTTATTGCCCACCACCCTCCAAAAAACAAAACAAGCTTGAATCTCATCAAGCCTCTAGAAGTAAATTCCAGTTTAGAGTATTCATAGTGAATGGAGGAAGCAATCTGGAGCAAACCACCAGGACGTGGGACAGTCTACAGGACAACTTTTCTATAAAACAGTTCTTTAAACAAGACAGTTGCATTAAAAAAAGGAAAAAAAGAAATAAAAACTAAAGTGACTGGTCTAGCTAATAAGTTTTAAAAAGATATTAGAAATACTCAATTATAATGAGAAGATTTTTTGTGGATACTCCTTTGAACATCACCCCCACCCCCATTAGATACTACTGGGGACATTTGATAATGAACTGAGTATTATGTGATATTGAATAATTATTCTTGGTTTTGTAAGGTGTAATAATGGCTTGTGGTTATGTAAATGTCCTTTTTTGATTTTCACACTGAAGAATTTAAGGGTGAAATGTGATATCAAGGATTTTTTTTTCTTTTTTTAAAGATTGGCACCTGAGCTAACTGTTGCCAATTTTTTTTTCCTGCTTTATCTCCCCAAATCTCTGCAGTACGTAGTTGTATATCTTGGTTGTACATCCTTCTAGTTGTGTCATGTGGAACGCTGCCTCAACGTAGCCTGACGAGCGGAACCATGTCCGTGGCCAGGATCCTAACCGGTGAAACCCTGGGCCGCGGCAGCGGAGCACGTGGACTTAACCACTCGGCCACGGGGCCGGCCCCTAGGATTTGTTTTAAAATACTTCAGCAAAAAATAGTGGGCTGTATAGATGAAACAAGCGTCGTAAAAATTAATGGCGGTTGAAATCAGGTGATTTGGGATTCACTATATTTCTACTTTTGTGTGTGTTTCATAATTTTCATACTACAAATTTAAAGAATCAAATCAGACTATTCTCAACAAGCTTAACTGATGGGGAGAAAAGTTAAAACACAGTAGCTTGAGGGAAAGTTGTGTTTGGGGAGGTTTTGAGTTGGAGCAACTTGAGTGTTTTGTATGTCCTCCAGTGGAGAAGAAGGAGCTGATGGAGCGAGGTCTGTGGGGGATTGGATGCAGGATACACACGGAAGGAGATTTAGGCAGGACTAAGCTAAGACTAAAGGAAAAAGAGATAAGAACAAGTGAAAGACTGGAAGAAAATAATTAGTTTGGGGAGAGAGGGTGACATGAAAGAGTCCTCTCCGTAAAGGTTCCTCTCTTCTCTGTGAAGGAGATAAGATCATGTGTTGAGAATGAGCGATTTGTTGGTGGTAAATGAATTTGAGAGCAGTAGTGAAGGCTCGAAGTTGGTGATGTGTGCAAAGGGAGATGGAGTGGCACAAGATGAAATAAAATACCATATATGTCTAGTTTTCACCAAAAAAGTTTCCCCAGAAAAAAAGTTGCCTTATACTTGAATCCTTAAAATGTTCTCCTGTCAGGATATGCTCTCAGGTGCTTTATTCTCAATAATAAACCACTGTTTGGAGAAGACGCATTAGCCTGAAATGACTTATGTCTCTGCTAGTTTGGTATCCTTATAAGGGATTCTTGACAGGATCAGTTAAAAAGAAGGCAAAAGTTTACAAACAATTGCTGGGGATATGACCACATAATTGCAAGACTTTTGAAGATGACTTTAAAAAGAATTATGGTATGTGGTTATTTGTGGATATCACAAATGAAAATATTACTTATGTTTTGCTATAAAATGTTCAGAGACAATGCCACTGGTTTCAGAAATTGCTGTATTTTAGTTAGACCTGAAGGTCAAATGTACCTGAGAACTATGTCAGATGATTCAGAAAGTGATTCTAGTGAGAATAAGGGTATTGACATTAACAATGCAGGATAAAGAGGTGGAATAAAAGATGTAAAAACATAAAACTCCTAGAAGAAAATATAGGCGGTACACTCTTTGGCATCGATCTTTGAAAGATCTTTCAAATACCACGTCTACTCGGGCAAGAGAAACAAAAGAAAAACATAAACAAATGGGACTTCATGCGACTAAAGAGCTTCTGCAAGTCAAAGGAAACCAGGAGCAAAACAAAAGACAACCCACAAACTTGGAGAAAATATTTGCAAACCATATATCCAACAAGGGTTAATCTCCAAAATACATAAAGAACTCACACAACTCAACAACAGCAAGACAAACAACCCAATCAAAAAATGGGCAGAGGATATGAACAGATATTTTTCCAAAGAAGATATTTCAGGTGGCCAGTAGGTACATGAAAAGATGTTCAACATCACTAACCATCAGGGAAATGCAAATCAAAACTACATTGAGATATCATTTTACACCCATTAGAATGGCTAGAATCACTTAAGACAAAAAATAACAGATGTTGGAGAGGATGTTGAGAAAAGGGAACCCTCATATATTGCTGATGGGAATGCACACTGGTGCAGCCACTGTGGAAAACAGTATGGAGAGTTCTCAAAAAATTAAGAATCAAAATACCATACAACCCAGCTATTCCACTGCTTGGGTGGAATACTTGGGTATTTATCTGAAGAACTTGAAATCAACAATTCAAAGAGCACACTTATGCACCCATATGTTCATTGCAGTACTATTCACAATAGCCAAGACGTGGAAGCAACCCAAGTGACCATAAACTGATGAATGGATAAAGAAGATGTGGTATATATATATACAATGGAATACTACTCAGCCACAAAAAAGGAGAAAATCATCCCATTTGCAACAACACGGATGGAACTTGAGGGTATTATGTTAAGTGAGATGAGCCAGACAGAGAAGACAAACACTGTATGATTTCACTCATATGTGGAAGATAAAGACGTGGACAAAGAGAACAGATTAATGGTTACTTAGGGAAAGGGGATTAAGGAGTAGGCATAAGGGGTAAAGAGGCACATATATGTGGTGACTGACAAATAATAATGTACAACTGAAATTTCACATCATTATAAACTATTATGACCTCAATAAAAAATTTTTCAAAAATTGGAATAAAGTTATTTTTGTGAGAATAAAATAAAACTATAATTTAAAAATAGCACATTATAGAATATGAGGTTAGAAATATGTGGTTGTATCTAAGTTAATGTAGACACATAGCTTTTCATTTACATACCCAAACTTATATGTTTAGCTCAAAATCCCTTCTCTAGGTCTTCTCATTGGGGATAATGAGGGATTGCTCTATATTTTATCAACCCTAAATTTGAGACTATATAGCAATTTTTAGAGGATGCAACTAAGGTTATATACAACCTTATATGAAACTGTATATAACTATGTACTTTATACAAAACTATAGAGCTGTAAAGTTTCCACTCTTATATGACAATAAGCCAAAATCATTCATCTATAATGGCAACAACCTATATTATTTTCTCCAGTTATTGGCAACTAGCAATTCTACTATCATTATCTCAAGGTCTTTTAATCATATCCATAACCTAACAAGCTAGAAAAATTTTAAAGAGTCCTAGAAAGGTGTCACCATACAGCATTCCAAGGGTCTTGCTTAAGAGGAATTGCATAAAACTGTGCTTGGAATCTTTCTCTCCATCAGTAAGGGGAGATTATTCTATTAATGTAGAAATTACTTGTAACTTGACTTTTGTTGCTTTTGGACTTTGGGTAAAATTGTCTAGAGGACAATATTTACTTATTAACCTCTGTAATACAAACCTTTTGATGATTGCGTATACAGCAACTTGATGTCATTTTCACTTGCCTCTGTTATTCTAAATTGCTGTACACAGTCCTAAGGCTTATAGTCATGCAATTTCATTTTAAAAAAATGCAGACATTATGTTACTAAATTTTTACCCCAAAGCAGACAATAAGTATTCCCCATTCTTTTCTTCCATACCAGCATTTTCTATTCCCTAAGGAACGTATTAGAATTAATTTTCAAAAATCTTTCCGTTTGATATACCATGAAATCAGAGGGCAGCCAGTAAGGCTTTCACCCCCTACATTCCCCCATTTACGCTCCCACCAAAGTAAATAAATAACATAGAGCCTGGGAAGAATTCAAGTGTGTCTTTTGAACAGTTCTTTCCCTGCCAGGTATGTATTGCTATTCCAGTTTTATAGATCAGGAAATTGAAGGTCAGAGAAAGTAAATAACTCACTCCAAATTTGAAGGCAAAGGAAGCAAAATTGGTACATTCACTTTTCTGGTTCAAAACACTGCATTCTTTCTAGCACATGACACTACTCCTACCCCATGATCAGGATACATCCCTATTATTAAACATCTCCAAACCATTTAAAAAGCAAGTGAAAGGAATACAATTGTCCACATTCCAATGACTCATAGCTAAAAAAGCATGTGCTTTCTTTCTTCTGTGTGTGTGTGTGCTTACACATACTCAGGCAATCCTTGATTTGCACGATAATATGGGGACATAAAAATGATTGTGCAGGTTGAAACCATGCAAAAGGCGATATTCACAATCAATGGGAAAAATTACAATTGTTCCATGACCTTTAAACATTTGCGAAAACATTAAATATTCTCTAACTGTTGACTATTAATGTTTAGAAAAATGAAAAATATAGTAAAGCTAATATTCGTTTAGTAAACTGTCATATAAAACATAAGAATTATTGAGAATAAAGTATTTTATTTCCTCTAGAAAATTTATCAAGAGTATAGTTTACAGTATTTGCCTTCTTCTTGTCATGCAGCTTAAATACGGAGCGAATATCTTTTTTATGCCTTTGCAAATTGTCGTACTCCTCTCTGAGTCTGGATCAGCCTCCTACATTTTATTATTTGAATTTTCAATGCTGTGAAATATCTCTGAGAATTCCTTTAATGTGAAGTGTTTTGCCAGCATCACATCCAATGGGACATCCTTTCCACCACAGCCACTTTCCTCATTTATGTCAGATAGGTTCACTTCACCAAGTGCCTCTGCCTGCGTACCTAGAGTCTCTCTGAATAGCAGCAGTGTCAGCCTTCCCAGGCTCAGCTCTCTTGGAATCTTATTCCAAATTCACCTTCAGTGTGATTACTTTCTGTGCTTTCATCTGTTGGCCACTTCCCTCTTTTGATTATTCATTTTAATTCTGTGTCATGTGGGCTTTTTTGTCACGGGGAGACAAGGAAGCAACACAACTACGTGTTTTGCTGCCTGCAAGTGAACTGAATAACAGATGCACAGTGACCAGTCACCAACAGACTTCGAAAGAAGTGGCAAGATGGTGATGTGCATTTGTTATTTATGTAGTGATCTGTGAACTAAAGAGCCAGCAGCGAAGTTTGTACTTTCTGCAACTATTCACGGTTAATATACCATGGTGAGTGGGAGACTGGTATTATTTAACTAAAATGTGGTAACTGAAATTCACACATATGGAAATGGTCCAAAGTGAAGACTGCCTATTTTGCACGTAATTGAGATCATTCATATAAACTCTGTCCTTCTTGTTCACCTAATAGTAGAAAATAAACATTTCCTTGAGACTTTAACATTATAACAAATAACGTAATGCCTAAATTTAAATCTCACTTAAGGTCATATTATATCTCTCTCAAGGAAAACCATTTAAAATGCTCTATCTGGTCTCCCATCCTTTGCCTTGATGATACGAGATTTATATTACAGTGTTTTGAGCAATATTTTATTCATGTTAATGATGTCCTTGTTGGTCTATAAATATTAACTTCTAAAAATAAAGATTCTAAAAAGCACATATAGTCCTCCAGTGAGCTGTGGACAAGAGTCACATTTAGTCCTTGCTTGCTGTGGCAGTCTAGTTTCAGGAGCCACATTGCTATTCAGTAGGAGTCTTGTTAAACTCAAAATTGCATGCTTAAAAAAACCATCTAATGTTCTTGCTCTTTTGCATTTACTGTATTATTCTAATCATTAGTTTCATTATCTTGGATCTATTAGAGTACATATCTGATTGTAAACTTAAAAAAATTTAAAGTATCTATAATTTGTATGAGAGGAAATAAATTTTATATATTTTAATTTTTTGATATGTCTGTCACTAATTTACAAAAGAAATACTTTGGCTAAAAAATATTAGTTTCATGATGTTGATGTCATGTATCAACGTGAAATAATTGAAATAAAAATTTTAGGTGGACATGCATAAGGAAATTCTTCTTAAGTATTTATGTTGTTTTGGTAAACCAAATATTCACTTACAAGCGTCCATTTACTTTTACTTATAGATTCAGAAAGCAAGTGAAGTCTGGGTCCTTAGAGGTCATTTCAATACCTGCCTATTTTTATCCACCCATGTTACATGACAAGGAATCAACTGAGGACTCAGAAAAATTAGAGCGGTATGACCTTTTAGAAAATAGTATCCTTAAATAACTAACTTTACCTGATGAAATGTTGGAATCAGCATCTAATAGATCCTCTTTCAAACACAGCCACCTCCTGTTGGCTTCCAAGAGCTGACTATGTGCATCACTTCCCAACTCTGTGTTCAGTGACATCCAACGGGAAGTGTGAAATCGGGAGCATTTACACCATGGCAATGGGCAAAAGCTATAAATCAGGCTTCACCACCACCACCTCCCGACACCCGCCCTGCAGGGAAACAGCTGTTAAACATTTACCACCAGCACACCACTGATTATCTATATCCATATTTACAAACAATAATTAGCAAAGGCCTAATGCAGGAAAAAAGAAGCCCAGGGTTATGAATTATTATACGTAGATTTGAGTCCCAGCTTTTTTGTTTCCTGATCATCCTAGGCAGGTAATTGAGCCTTTTTTTCTTAGCTTTGTCAGCGATCCAGTGTGTATCATAAAATCTACATTACATTTTTGGCAAAGTCATTATGAGAACAAAATGATAGTATTTATAAAAGAATTTTGAAAAATTAAAAGCTCCATACGTGTACAAAGGATTATTATTCTTTGGTATAAATGTGGTAGATATTATAAGAAATGTAATAATTTGGCTCCTCAGAACTTAATAGAGCGAAAGACATGTCAGAATTCAGAAAAAAGTCTTATTCCAGGAAACTTATTAGCTCTGTTTTGTTTTAAAATAATAATAGTATTTCAGAATCTGGAAATCTTTTAAGGGTTTTGTTTTGCTTTTAATTAATGACCCGCATTATATCCAGTTTTCAGAGTCGTAAAGCTAGAAGTCATTCTAGATCTTTGTTTTTCCTTCTGCCCTTTATGTGTCTATCCTTTTTTTAATCTCTCTGCACATCATCTCTCATCTCCATCCCTCTGCCTTAGACTTAGTTCAGGCCATTCCAGATCATAGCCTAGCCTAGCTTCTCTATTCCATAGCCAGAAGAATCCTTTTTCATATAAGATCAAGTCCAAAGTTTCCTGTGTGTCATGAAAGATCCTTCGTGATCTGGTCTCTGGCAACCTCACCACCACCAGCTTCATTTCCATCGACTCTCTCTGCTCTAAATCTAAGGTGGCATGTTCTTTCACACGTTTTGTACCCTTGCAATGCTGTTCCTCTGCACTGAATGCCCCACCTCCTTCTCCTCCACCCTGCCACCTTACTGTAAGTCATCATTGTCAATATCTTTATATGGCACTCATCTCATTGTGTTAATCTTATTATTTTTCTACATTTTCATACCGGATTACAAGATCCAGAAGGGCAAGAACTACGTTGTATATTGCTAGTATCTAGTTTAGTATTAAATTATAATAAAGTTTCTTTATACTTTCATCTGAACAAGACCTAAGATCAGAAAGGATATTCACTTTATTATGTAGATCAAGATTTAACTGAACCAAAACATAAAATAAATGGATTATGCTTATCCTAGTTTAGCAACGGCAGACACTGTCCACTGAGCAAAGATGGGAAAATTTTTAGTATAACGTATTCAACTTCTCTTAATGTAAATAGTACTTTATTTTAGCAAAGTATAAAACAAAATTTGTTTCTAATTACTGAAGTGTGCTTATAAATAAAAATTAAATAATAATGACAAATATTAAATGATTTTATTACTCATCTTTAGTTGGAAAACCAAACAAGTATTGGATTTTTGTTTTTTGATGCTGTATGCCCAGCCCAAGGCCATGTATTATTTACAGGTAAGACCTTGTTTTATATCTATATATATAATTTAAAGTAGAAGTATTAGGTTCTCCCTCCCTCCTTTGATTCCTTCCTTCCTTCACTTTACTTTATACTCAGAAAATAGAAAATATGCATTATATTAAAATGCCAAAAGCAAGCTTAAAGTTGATTATATATAGAGTCTTCTTGCTGGGTTCACTATTAACAGAGGAAATTATAGCTACCTGAAGCAAACTGAAAAAAAATTCTCAAATTAGAAAAAAATAGAAATGGTACTGCCTACATTTCTCCACCCACAGTTTATTAAATTAAACAAGCACTTATTGTATGTCAGTGTCTATGCTTATCACTGCTACTCTACATTGCCTCACATTTTGTAAGTAACAGTTCCGTGCTGCCTTACCGTATTTGTGAAATAAATCAGTATATATAGTTTTTACTCCCTAAATTCCTGCGTATTGTTTAATAATGTTATGTTTCCCAACACTAAGTATACACCTCACCACAGGAGACACGAGACAACGTACAGTTGTGAGAAGGGTTTGCAGAATATCATTGGAGAATAGCTAGAGTTATAAAAAGGCCTGAAGCAAGGTCTTCTCTTATACTGGAAGAAAGAAAAAAAAATCTCTTTTCATTCCTAGTTAGTGGCAATGTATTAGCAACATGAGATCCAGCCAATGTACTCTTCCTGATTTGAAGCAACACAATTCTATTTTGTGTTCTGGTACTGTGCCTGAGGACTTCCACATTTTTCCTAATCACTTAGGTGGCCCTCTTAGTCTATAGATTATGCATAATGTATATTAAATTATGAAAGAAAATTCTAGTTTCCCTCCCTGCCCTTCTTATAGAGAAGTATTTTTAGGCTTACTAGCACAATGATTCTAACGAGCTAGTTGTGGATGAGAGTAATAATTCCCTTTGCCATCTCTTTGCCAACTACAGTATCTGGCAATAGAACATGGCACCTATCATCCACACATAATGCCTTAAAATAGAAACTAAAGTCTTTGTGAGGATGAAAATGGATGCAGATAAATAGACTCTTCAAAGAGGATTTAGATTGAATGTTACGTATTAGTATTTAGGAGAGAAAGAGATCATCTCTGGTCTCAGAGTCAGAAAACGAAAATTGACCAACAGTAAATATTATCAGTGAATTGAACTAAAAATAAAATTATTACCTCATAAAAACATTTTTTCAGTGTATTCTTTTGAAAGTATTTTCAATTTCCAAGCTAATATCTTATTCAATGGAAGAATCAAAAGTTCTAATGCCTTTTTGGTTTTGTTCCAGCTAGAAGATGATATCATAGCTAAGAAGAGCTACTTTACAACAATCACAGATTTCGTACATAATATCACTTCAAATACCTGGTTTTCTATTGAGTTTCCAGTTCTTGGATTCATCGGTAAGCAATGGATCTAATTTGTGGGGTCAAGATTTTAGCACACAGTAAACTTAAAATTTCTCAAGAACTTATCAAAAAGTTTGTTCCTAAATGGAAAGGAATGGCGTGATTTCTATAAAGATACTATTCCATTAGTAGTAAAATCAGATTCAAGGATCTGAATTTCAGAAGATGTCTTTTTAAACCAAATGTTTTTTCTGGATGGTAATATAAATAAACAGATTGACATCTATACTGTATGTTATAAAAACATATGATGGCTACCACTTGTTAAATGCTCGCTCTGAGTCTGGCATAAATGTTAACTCAGTGACTTAGACGCACTTCTCTCTATTTTACATAGAAAAACACTGAAACTCAAAGAATTAAAGTTGTAGAGAGAGGACTTTTAGCTTAGGACTGTTGTATTCTGAAGTCCCTGTGATTTCCAGCGTGCCAATGCTGACATACTTAAAAAAATCTGAAAATATGTGTATTATCCTCACTATAGAAAAGTTCCTAAAATTCTGTGCATGATGTGCTTTTTTCTGTTGTTTTACACTTCTTCTGTAGACTTTCCTTTTCTTTGCTTCCATTCTTTCCTGCGTTCTTCCTGTCCTTTTTTCTTTTATTTGACCCTTGAGGCACGCAAGTTGAATTACCATACTCACTTGATGTTTGTTTCATGCAGAACCTTCTCTTATTTTATTCCGCTGTTTTATGTGCAATCCCATAGATTTTCACTCTAATATGTTTGAAATATACATATATACATGTAAAATATTTGGTGTTTATCATGTTTATATCTGTTTAAAATTTACATAAATGGTGATATGAAAAACCTATTCCTGTTCCTTACATTTTTGTCCTCAAAACTAGATTTTAAAACTGTCAACATGTTGCTTTATGTTCATTTGGTTCATTGTTTTTTACGACTTAGAAGCGCTACTTGATTTCCCGAGAGTATTCACTGTTCTAAACCTGCTTCACACTTTTTCTCCCCAGAAGCGGTAATCCTCAATTCTTTTTTTGTGTTTTTTAAAGATTGGCACCTGAGCTAACAACTGTTGCCAATCTATTTTTTTTCTTTCTGCTTTTTCTCCCCAAATCCCCCCAGTACATAGTTGTATATTTTAGCTGTGGGTCCTTTTAGTTGTGGCACGTGGGACACCGCCTCAATGTGGCCTGATGAGTGGTGCCATGTCTGTGCCCAGGATCTGACCCAGCAAAACCCCGGGCGCCGCAGCAGAGGGTGCGAATTTAACCACTCGGCCACCAGCCGGCGCCGGTAATCCTTATTTCTTAAGCATATATATTATTTTACTTTATTATTCTCCAACTTCATCAATGTAAACTTTATTTAAATAATTTCTAAGGAATAGGATATATTTAATTTTTAATAATTTTTTTCTCTCTTCCCCTTTTCATGGAATGAACAATTTCATATAAGGGTCATGTTATGGTATATTGTATAAACACTCAAGAGTTACTTGGATTTCTTTACTTTTTCTGCATAGGAAAGCTATTCAAATCTGCGGACTTAACTGACTTTGTACAGTTTTTTTTAATGTTCTACAAAGATAAACCCATAGACTGGCTTTTGGGGTACATTTTTCAGATAAAGATGTGTCACCCAGGAGAAACAACTGTGAGTATTTCTTTACTTTATAAATATCAAATATTTTAGGAACATACTACCTGTCTAATGTAATTACCTAAAATTTGTTTACCTAAACAAATTTGATGAGTGCATCAATTTTTAAACTTCCCATATCTTAAATTTTTACTGACACTTATGCCTACTAAATGAAGTAATGAGGCCACAAATGCAGTGAAAGAGTGGAAAGAAAGGGACAAACAGAAAAAAACAATGAAGTGGTAGACATAAATCCAAACATGTCAATATTTACATCAAATATAAATGGCCAAAATATACCAATTGAGATAGTTCATCAGGATGGATTAAAAAAACACTATGCAATTACTTGCTGTTGATACTCAGTTCAGATATAATGAAATAGATGGGGTAAAAGCAAAATGGAAAAAGATATACCATGAAGACATTAGTCAAAGGAAATCTGTAGTGGCTATATTATTATCAAAGTAGACTTCAGAGCAAAAAAAGAAAAAGATTGACCAGGGATCAAGAAAGATACTATACTGATGAAAGGGTCAATTCACCAAGAAGATGTAACAATCCTAAAAGTGTATTCATCTAACAAGGGAGCCTCAAAATACGTGAAGCAAAAGATGTCAGAACTGAAAAGAGAAATAGATTAGTCTAAAATTATTGTTGGCCTCTTCAACACTCCTCTCTCAGTAAGAAGCAGAACTGGTAGGCAGAAAACCAGCAAGGCAATAAAAGAACTGAACAACACTGTCTACCATCTGGACTGAATTGATATTTTAAAACTATGTCCAGCAACAGTAGAAAACACATTCTTTTAAAATACACGTGGAACATTCACCAAAATAGATATGTCTTGTATCATGAAACAAAGCTTAATGATTTTAAATTGAAATCATAAAAAGCATATTCTCTGACTACAAGGGAGTCAAATTAAAAATGAATAACAGAAGGATAACTGAAAGGTCTACAAACACTTGGAAATTAAACAGCGCACTTCTGAGTAAACCATGAGTGAAAGAGGAGCTCTCAAAGGAAATTAGGAAATACTTTGAACTCAATAAAACTGAAAAATACAATTTATCAAAATTTGTGGGATGCAGCTAAAAGCACTGCTTAAAGTATAAATTTTATAGCATGAAATTTTTATGTTAGAAAGAGAAGATCTCACAATAATCTCAGCTTCTACCTTGAGAAAACTAGAAAAAGAAGAGCAAAATAAACCCAAATCAAGCATAAGGAAGAAAATAATAACTATAAGAACAGAAAACAACAAAATTGAAAATCTAAAAGCAGTAGAGAAAATTGATGAAACCAAAACTGGTTCTTTCAAAAGAGCAATAAAACTGATAAATCTCTAAACGACCAACAAAGAAAACCTGAAGGCATAAATTATCAATATTAGAATAAAAGAGAGAATCTCACGACATATCTATCTATATTTGTGTGTCTATAAATCTAAAAAAAATGTACATTATCTATATGCTGAAAACTTCAAAATGCTGATGAGAAAAATAAACATACCGTGATCATGGATTGGAAGGCTCAACATAGTAAATAAGCAAATGCTCTCTAAATTGATGTATAGATTTAACACAATTCCAATCAAAATCCCAGCAGGATTTTCTTTGTTACATATAGACAAGCTGATTCTAAAATTTTTAAGAAAAGGCAAAGGAACTCAATTAGCTAAAATGATTTTGAAAAAGAAGAATAAAGTCAGAGCCATCACACTACTCAATTTTAAATCTTAGTATAAAGCTGTAGTAATCAAGCCAAGCCTTTATAGGCAAAGGGGTAAATGTATGGACCCATTGAATGGAACAGAGTCCAGAAGGAGGTCTGCAACATATGGCCAGTTGATATTTGATAAAGAAGCATATGCAATTCAAGAGAAAGAATAGTCTTTTCAACAAATGTTTCTTGGATCAGTTGGATATCTATATACATATAAAAAAGAATCTCAACCTAAACATCACACCTGATACAAACATTATTTCAAAATAGATCATCTATCTAAATATAAGACATAAAACTATAAAACTTTTAGAAGAAAATATAGAAAAAACCCTTCTGGACCCAAGATTAGGTGAAGAGTTCTTGGACATGACACTAAAAGCATCATCCATTTTTTTGAATTGATAAATTGGACTTCATCAAAATTAAAACCTTTTCTGCTGCAAAATTTACTGTTAAGAGGGTAAGACGCCACAGACTCGTAAAAAGTATTTGTAAATTCCATGTACAACAAAGACTTGTATTTAGAATATGCATAGAATTCTCAAAACTCAACAAGAGAACAAACAACCAAGTTAAAAAATAGGCACAAGACTTGAACAGACACTACCAAGACTCTATCAAGGTAGTTTCTCCCTTACTGCAATAAGCACTTAACTCAGCTTTGCTTTATCAATAGGTTATTTAGGGCGTGTTTTTGGGAGCCGGCGTTTGACAGTACCATCCCACTGGAGCTTTTACTAATAGCTTAGAAAATATTATCATATTTGCTAAATTTTAACTCCTCAACTAATTTTATCTGACTTAATTTAGTTTCAAATTAAGTTAACTCTGGATTATTTAATTACTTCATAGTTATAAAAACGATCCTTTAATATATTTTCCTACATGTCAGTTGAGTAGAAATGACTTAAATAAGCCTGCTATCTTAAAAATTATGATGTACATAAATTTGAAATGTATTTTTATGAATTTTTTCTATGTATACGATATATAAAATAATTCTCAGATAGTGATAGTAATAATTTTAAATGTTTATTTTTAATAGTGGCATCACAGGTCATCTTTCTTATTTTTATTTTGAAGGAGATTGTCTAAATTCTTTTTTATTAAGTGCAATGCTGGCTGTTTGTTTTAATCATATACTTTTTTCCTGTTTAAGAAGAAATTGGGGAGAGTGTAATTTACCATAGGAATTAATCAATGAACATGGAAAGAAAAAGAATAATATATTTTGAGAGAAATGGACAGACAGGAAAATACTAAAAACTTCATTTATGTTGTTGGAATAAAAAGAAAGGAGAGGACAATTATAGTTGGTACAACAGTAGCGTGATTCTCTAAGACAGATTTCATGAAAATACATGCTTTAACTAAAACCCTTTTGTATCTCAACTCTTTTGTCCTATTACTCTTATGAAGAAAAAGCTAAGAATTAAATGTTTTGTTTACATTTTAAAATATTAATACTAAACTCTGGCAAAAATTAATATAATAAAAAATTCTGCCATCAGTAAGTGCAATAAAAAAGAATATTTAGGTTTTTAACAGAAGTTTATTTTCTCTTACTTTTCCCCCAGGAAAAGTGTATAGAGCGAAATAGGGAAATTCGTATTCGATATAAACCTTCCCTTTTCCAGCATGTGGGTATACAGTCATCGTTCCCTGAAAGAGAACAACATTTAAAAGTAAGATTTTGAAATGTAACTTGAATAGTATACAATGTTTCATGAACTTATAAAATATTATTTAGAAAAAGGGTGATGACAACATGAGAGAGACTATAAATTATGGTTGTTTAAACACAATTCATCTTATGACGGAACTGTATGTTGTGAAAAGCAGTCATCTTTTCAAGACCCAGGTTACCTATCACGGATGGAAAAATCCAACCTGTGTAAACTTCTTTGCCTTACTGCTCCCAGCTGTGCAATTAATAAGACTTAAAAAGTGTTCTGAAAATCATAATTCACTATTTTATTCTAATACTCAAAATTATACAAGAATATTTCAAAAGTAAAATGCCCCTGTTACTGAATTTAAGTGTGTCGACATTCTCCAGATCACTGTTTACCAGATGAAGGAAAATTCAGCATTTGGTTTTCAGTCATTCTTAAATTTTCCGTCATTTTTGGAAACAATGTTATTTGTAATTGACTTAGCGTCTTGGTGTGGGGTAGAAGCAGCAGAGACTTCAGAGTCAAAACACCTAGTTTTTAGTTATGGTGACCCATGTACGTATTGGGCAAACCCTAACACTCCTTTGAGTGTTGTTCATCTATAAATTGAGGAGTTTAAATTAGATGATCCTTAAGATTTCTTCCATCTTTGCAATACTATTGACATCTCTACCCTTCTTAGTTTCTTCACACACAAAGCAAATGATGGCTTTAATCCTTTGTCAGTTGAAATGAGAGAAATGCACATATACATCCTCCCATCACTTGGTCCATTATTTATAACCCGCCCTCTTACCACCCTTTCTCCTCTTGTATTTATTGTACTGCAGGCTTTGAAACAGTGCCTGGCACATAATGTGAACTCGTAAATGTCAGCTATTAGCCATCGTCAAGGAGGCATTCAAGATTAAAAGTGTCTGTTGTTTAAGACAAGTGTCTGGAATAATGAAAATTTAAATATTATGAATCTTTATGCAAAAAGTCACACCGTCAGAATTTGTAAAACATAGCCGCAGATGATGCAGAAAGAAATTGGTCTATACCATTCTATTCGTTAGTGCTATTAGGATAGAATTCTTTTCTTCCATTATATTTTTTTTTGCCATAAAGTATTTTAACCCTACCTTTGTAAATTCATGACAGATTAAGGAGAATGTTCCTCTAAAGACATATTTTGGTGTTATAATCTTAGCTTTTCTCTACCTCATAAAATAGAAATAATGTAATGATATGTCAAATGTGATTATATTTAAATTATTTTTAAATTTTCTAACAGGATATCTATTATTAGGAGTTCCATAATTCTAACACTGTCTTTAAAAATGATTAGAATAATTCTTTGGAAAAAAATATCATAACAAGGATTAGAACATTTCTCAACTTTCTTCATAGTGGATAAGAGACTACATCGTATTTTAAAAAGTTAAAATTTCAATAATAAAGTGGTAAGTATAAAAATTGATATAAATATATAGAAAATTATCAGATATTTGTTCATCTTATTTTATGTCCCTATGTCCTCTGTACGTTTTTAGTTTTTATATATAACTTTCTGATACACTCTCTAAATTCTGTTTTAGAAGTATTTTTCCCCTTATCATATACTGTAGATGTACAGTGAATTTGGAGACAATAGATCTGAGTTTGAAGCCTCATTCTTATCAATAGATGCAACAATATGGATGAACTCTAAAGCATTATGCTACATGAAAAAAGGCAGATGCAAAAGACTACATACTGTATGATTCTGTTTTCATGAAATTCTAGAAAAGGCAGATACTGATATCTCATTATGATTTTAATTTGTGTTTCTTTAATAACCAATGATGTTGAGCATCTTTTCATGTGCTTGTTATATATATTTGTAGATATATAAATATATACAATGAAGTATATATTTTTATGAAATATATTTGTGTGAAATGTCTATTAAGAAATTGGATTGTTTACCTTTTCGTTTTTGATTTGTAATAATTCTGTATGTAGTCTGACCACAAGTTTCAGCTATGGCTTGCCCTTTCATTTTCTTAATGTCGTAGTGTCTTTCAGTGAACAAAAGATTTTAATTTTGGGAGCCAGCCCTCATAGCCTATCAGTTAAAGTTTGGCATTCTCCACTTCAGCGACCCAGGTTGGTTCCTGGGCATGGATTCACACTACTTGTCTGTCAGTAGCCATGCTGTGGTGGTGGCTCACCTAGAAGAACTAAAAGGACTTACAACTAGAGTATATGACTATGTACTGGGCTTTGGGGAGGGGGAAAAAAAAGAGAAAGAAGACTGGAAACAGATGTTAGCTCAGGACAAATCTTTCCCAGCAAAAAAAAAGATTTTAATTTTGATAGAGTTCACTCCACTCAAACCTCTGGTCTCTCAATATAGTTATATAATTTGTTAGCTCAGTATTCAGTGATTTTATAGTTATGAGAATATAAATGCATTTACACTTAAACTACATACTCTTCCTTTATTACATGACTTTTTTTCTTTGCAGTTTTAAATTTGCTTTATTGGTACTTATCACTAATTCAACCTCAAATTTTCTGTGAATTATCTAAATCTGTTTGCGATATATTCAAACATTTTAAAAATCATGAATGAATGTCTATTATTGTCAAATTTTTTTCTGCATTTCTATCATTTCCTAATCTTGAAACACCTCTCCCCTGGGGCCTCCTGTCCAGCTCCAGCAGATCTCTTAGGAACCTCTTGGGGTTCTTCTGTCTCTCTTTTGAGTTGATTCTCTTGTTCTGTGCATCATTCTTGGTTTACCTGTTCACTTTAGTAAAGCACACTCACCAGTAATTTCTTGAGAAAGACTGTGTGCAAGGTAAATTCTTGGAAAATTAAAATGTCTTCAAATGACTACAGTTTATCAAAGTTATTTGTTAAAGTGGCTGGGCAAAGAATTCTGACTTGGACATAATTTCCCCTCAATTTTTGAAGGCATTCAAGAGTGCAGATGTTGAAAAGTAAAGTCGTTCTAAATCCCATTTCTTTGCATAAGAAAAATTTTCCTGTCTGTAAACCTTTAAAAATTTTCTTGTATTTGGGTTCTACAGTTTCATGATTATGGTATGGGTCTACTTTTATCTATTGTGCTTAATATTTGGTGGGGGGGGGGGTTCCTGAGGAAGATTCGCCCTGAGCTAACATCTGTGCCAATCTTCCTCTATTTTGTATGTAGGTTACCATCACAGCATGGCCACTGATGAGTGGTGTAGGTCCACACCCAGGGACCAAACCTGGGCCACTAAAGTGGAGCATACCAAACTTAACCACTAGGCCATGGGGCTGGCCCTGGTTTGGTGGTTTTTTCAAATCTGAAAACTCATGCTTCGATTCTGGAAAATATTCACACATTATTTTGTTGATGAATTTCCCCCTCTATTTTCTATGCTCTTTTTTTCCCTAATTCATTTTGTTTTATTTTTTATTTTGTATTGAGGTAACGTTGGTCTATTTTCCATACTCTTTTTAAGGAATCCTTTTTGAAATGTTAGCTTTCTTGGATTAATGTTCTTTCTCTCTTACTCTCTTCTTCCTGTTTTCTTTCTATTTGCTTTATTCTCTGGGAATTTTTCTAAATTTTATCTTATATCCTTTTTATTAGTGCTTTTTTTTGTTTGTTGCAGGGGAGGGCTGTTTTCATTGATTGGTTTGTTTGGTTCGTTTTTGTTTGTTTTTGCTCTTCTAGTTTTAATTTTTAAGAATGCATTCTCTTCTCCTAATGTCACTGTCTCTTTTTATAACATTCTGTTCTTATTCTATGATTGAAGTACTTCCACTTAACCTGCTGAAGACTTTAATAGTTTTTAAAAAGATTTTTTAAGAAAGAATTTTTTCTTCCTGCATAATTTCTATTCCCTCCAAGTTGGTTTTTTCATTGGTCTCTTTTTCACCTTAAAGCGTTTCTTCATATACCCCATCATTTTAGGTTGTATGTTCAAATGGAGAGAGAAACCTGATTGGAGGCCCTGAGCACATGGCCGGACTCATGAGTTTCACCGTCTGGGGAGGAGAGGCCAGGCTCTTTTTTTCATGAATCCCCTATGTTAGTATCTTTAAGTCTTGCTTAAATTGTTAGAGAATCTGGGAGCCAAAAGGGCAAAGGTAGTTGGGGGTTTCAATGTTCAGTTTGCCAGAATTCACTTATTTGTCGTGTTTTTCATTATTCTCTCTACCCTGGTTTGAGTCTGGATAGCCTCTGTTTTCCTTTTCAGAGAATTACCCTTCAAGAGTGGAGAAAAGACAGTCACCTGGCTTCATAGGGTGAGAGAGGCTATCTAGAGGTTTAACCTTGCAAGCCACCCTCAGAGTTTTGCCGCATCTTCACCTCCATTTCTAGTAGTACTGGGGGCTTTGCCCTGCACATAGCTCCTCTGTTTCCCACTGGCAGCTTGAGATACACCTTTCTCAGAGCTTTTTGTTGCCTTTGTCTTCTCTCCCATTCTATTTATAAGATTATGTATTTTTAAATGGCCTTTAATGCTATTTTAAGTGTGATTTCAAGAAAAAGTAAAAACTTGTTTCTGACTTACCATCTTTATTGGGCAGACTACTAGTTCATTTTGAACTAAAACGTCTATTTTACTTTTCAGCCTATTTGTTCATTTTTTAACTTCAGTAAACAAAATTTTAATTTCCAAGGACTTCCAGTTGATTTTTTTATGTATATAATATCCTATCTCTCTGAGAAGATTAATTCCACTTAAACGTTAGTACATCAGTATAAATGTAATTCATTATCTTAACTTCTTCCTACACTTACTGTCTGTTGTTAATTCTGTATCATTGCCATCCTCCTCTCCATTTTCCTCCTCTTCTCAGGGGAAAAACTGGGAAGTACGCCTCACAGAATGTCTTTCCCCAAAAAGTTCCAAGCTAGATTCTGTCAGTGAGAGATACTCTCAGTAGACATGGAAGACAGCTGAGAAGGCAGCAGTGGTCTCCTGTGGGCAGAAAATTGAGATCACATTGCTGCCAGGCAGCTGAAATCACTGGTGGTTTCCCTTGGCTTCCAGGCTTCTTCTGAAAATAGCCCACTAGTTTGCTGAGGCAGTCGAGAGCATCTGCAATGGCTCCCTTGTGACCCCTACACTTCCAGATTTCCTGAAGGTGGCTCTGTCACCTTTGCTCCCCCAACCTTTCCAACAGTTGAGTGCACCTCTACTTTACCCTGCCTGGGTTAAATCTGTCTCTTGATGCCTCAAGTGGCTTCTGTTTCCTGGACTGAACTCAGTTTTGGTTCTGCTGCTTCCTGTATTTCACGCCCCCATACCCCAACTGAAATTTTGTGTCTTGCTTGTTTTTGAGACTGTCTCTGAATGCTGAATTGTTTTCTGTAGTCTTCCTCCAGTATTTATAGGGGAGGGATGGGTGTTCTACTGCTCATGGTGTGCAGTAGCTTTTCTTCTGAGTAGGGAAGACCTCATTCTTCTTGGGTGTTGCTTTTCTTCTCCACATCAAATACCCACACTCACTCCCTCTGCTGGGGAATAGTCATTTCTGATGTCTGCTACTTGACATGAACATAGATATTCCAACTGTGGCTCTGCAGTTAACCCCAAGGCCCCCACCTGTTCCCTATATCCACCACCTCTGAGCGTGGGTCATCCTTAGAGCCGCTCCCATCTTTTTAGTAGCTGGCTCCTCTGTGTTTTGGAATTTAAATTCCTTCCCTTCGAATCCAGTCTCACTTACTTTCCACCCAAAACTGCCCTCTGAATGATTTATGTGGATGGAAGTGTGTTCATACAAAATTATCTTTTCATACTTTAACAGTAAAAGAAGCGCATAATATATAATCAAATGTATGCATTGTTTGTACACATACCACTTTCCCATGGAAATGTGGGTGCATTTCCATGAAGATAACCCTGCACTCTATGAGTGTCAGTTAGACTTCCATGATGATGAAGATTTTTTTTCATTTTTTAGTGAGACTGAGATCAGCAAAAGTTTGAAGCAAAGATGAGATATGGTGAGACATATGTGGAGTTTTCAACATTGTAATGTTCCAAGATACCCCAAACGTAGTATAGCTCAAAATATGATCCCCAGCTGCTCTTTGGGAATAAGGCAGCTCAGACATCAAATTTCCTAGGATCCTTCATTTGCTACCCTATCGGTCAAGTGTCTTTCTCTTTTCATAGCTCCTTCCAGAATGTTTCCCTTCTTTCTTGCGAGAAGAAAAAGAACACCATCACCCCATCTCTTTTCCCCTCCCAAGTTAGGAACTTGAAATGCTTTCAGCATCCTTCACTGAAACCACATTTCCCTATCAAAAACAATTTCAGGGAAACAATTAACTATCTTTTTGCTAACACTTTTAGATATTTAAAATTAGATGCTTCCAAACTGATGAAAGGGTTGCAGAATGAATTATCCGGTCCATTTTCCAAACGGTGCATTTCAAAATGGAATAAAATTCAATTGGATAAGATT